AGATCAATCAGATGACGGCAGATTCTTGTTGTGCTGCAACCGTTTGACTTTAATACGATGTTCAGGCTGATGCAGTCGAGGAGAAATCCTCTCTTACTTCGGACTAAGACTGGCTGAGTCTTCGCTCGTCATATGACGAAGATCATGAGAGCCAGGACTTATCATTGCAAAGGTCTCAAGTTGAAACCAAGTCCAGAAGACTAGCCTTCTATTTCCTACTTGATATATATTTTTTCGTTTATAAGTAAGGTTTCGAGCCTACTAGTAAATCAGTTATATGAGATGTATTCACAATAATAATATGAGTAAAGCTGACGTCGTTGAATTTCACATACATCTCACATAATCGATTTACTTGTAGTCTCGAAACCCTACCTATAAACCAAAAATAAGTGACGTACTCGATTGCTAAGCAAGCACAGCTTTGCTTCATCCCTAATCCTACCGAAGAATGTGATATGGGAAAATGCCTAACGTTCCTTGAAATTATACTGTCCTGAAACCCAAGGGCATTCGTGGCAATGTAGCATAGTGATTAAAGTGTCGAGATTAAATGCTGCACTAGCATGATTCGACTTTCGCTGGGTTTGTTGATAAGACTTAGACGAGGTCGAAACCGCAGTCCACCCTAGAAGAGAACACCTTTTGGGAAAGCAGGGCTATCTGAAATTCAATGGAAACGTCAATTCTATTCATATCATTGAGGGTAAAAATCCAAATGCCAGTCCTTCTTCACCTTGGACGAAATACAACACAGCTTAAATACATCTCATATAATTTATATATATACCCACAAAAAGAAATTTTTTAGATATAGATTGATTTATAAAGATATGGTCAATCGTCTTGACTTAGTGTAAACTTGAGAATTTCACAGAAATGGGTTACAACTCTGATGATTTCCTTCATATAATGGACGAAAGCTTATGAGATGTGTGAAATTCAATGGAAACGTCAGCTCAACTCATATCATTGTGCGAAAATTCTTATATCAGCCCTTCATCACCTTAAACGAAATTGGGTGAATACATCTCATATTACTGATTTACTGGTAGTCTCGTAACAATACTTAAGACAAAAGCTTAGCCTGCTTTCGTCCGAAACTAGGGCGGATGTCTCGTGGACTGCTTCAACCTGAACGTTGGTTCATAGCCAAATGGCTGAAGTATGAGATACGGCATTCGTCTTCTGGTGGGATTGACCTGCGAATCTCTTCATCATGAATAATTATAATAAATGGAAGTCTCCACAACAACTCCAACATTTGACTGAGTAAAACTCAATATTCAACTTGTTGGTAATGGGGTTCAAGAATTACTCTGTCGCTCGGTCGAAACGTAAGAGGCCTCAAATTAGAAAGTAAATTCTCACTATTCTGGCTCTATAATTATCAAATGTGGTGATGAACCCTTCCCAAACTCACCGTTAATCTGTCCTGTAAGTAAAAATTGTATTGGTCTGGCGCACAGATGTAGCACATCAGGTAGTTTAGGTAGCGAACGCATTCATCTGAGGCCCCTTTCAATGGTTTCATCTTGGCAAATGTTATCTTCAACTCTACATCTTGACAACAACTGCGCTCACGGTACCAAGTGCAGTTGCTCAACGTCTCCTGGGCCCGTGGAGCACGATTGTTGAAAAATGAACAATACTCTTCTTCGAGAGGCAGACGAACTAGGCCTCCGCCACGCTGAGCTGCTTCACTGCTCTGTTTGCTCTCTCCAGGGCGAGAATCACTTGGCGAACTTTCAGATGTGGAGCCGCCAGGGCCTTCTCCAGCGCCTTCAGCTTTCGGAATGGAAAACGGAGGGATGATCGCTTCGACACTCACCTGCGGCACAGATTCAATCAAATGGATATCTTTGGACGTCAGCCCTTGATCGTGCATCAGAAGACTTGGATTCGAAGGTGTCTGACTCAGGATGGAGACAGCCCTGAGCAAAAAAGGGAAATGAATCGCTTTACTCTTCCCCTCGATAAGTGGGATGAATCAAAAGGCTCAAGAGCGTCGTTAAGAGACGACTCGAACTTGATCCAGATGGGAACCCAAAATAGGGAACTTCTGTTGCTTCATAAATATCTGTTCTTCTGCAGCCCTAAGGCTTGGCGACAAAGGGCAGTTTCTGAATGAAATGTAATGCCGTTCTTTTGGGGTTTGGGGGACAATTAATCGGCAGGATCTACAACGAAGCCTATTTGGCTGTTTGCTACAAGCTCTATCTAGAACGAACAGGACGTGATAGAGGCGCCTATGTCATTTCAAATCCATTCACCCTCAACTATTCCATTGTCACTGGGTCCTCGTCAGG